AGCGTACTTCCCTAGTGTGGAAAGTGGTTTGGTAGTATTAACTTTAAAAATACAGATAAGAATAGTAATAGCTAATATTATTGGGCACTTACCTGTGGCAAGGGTGCTACTGAATCACTTGATTTTAATCATCATGAACCTACATGATAAATATTATAATTATTCCTGTTGCACAGATAAGAAAATAGACTGAGGAAAACTAAATATCTTACCATTTCTTGTTCTGCCACGTGGCCAAGTCAGAATATAAACTCAGGATAGACAACAGCATTTTAATCAGGCACTGCACTCCTCCATTTCTTAGTTAATATTTATTATACAACAACCTGCACCATGTAAGTTCTGAGACTTGAGAGGGCTCTGTGATATTTTGCTTTGTGACCACAACAGGAAGTAGGCTGCCAGGCAGTGCTTGCTATTGATCCAAGCCCTACTCTATCATTTCTGCGAAAATTTAAATCAACATAAACAGGAACCAGCACTTGCTATTGGCTTTTTTCCTCAACAAAATCTTGAATTTATGGAGGATACAAAGGTATATCTGGAAATATACTATTTAGCCCCAGGGAGCTTGTTTTTCAGTGAGGAAAAAAACACATGCAGAATTTGCTCTAAAACATGTCAATGTTCTAACAAAGTTTGACCGAGAACAGACTCTGAGAGTATAAAAACCAGACTAGACTGATGTTGCCAACAATCAAGTTCACAAAATGAACCTGAACCAAATGTCTTTGACACTTTGACAGTAGGCCTTCTTGTACACAATGGTAGCAATCTCCACATGCTAAGTAAATGTGCAAGAGTTAGTGCAGTCAGTAATAATTCTGTGAAGTTGGTGCTCTTAACCTATCCTTTAAAATTACTGAAGAAACTAAAGCAAGAACAAGCCGGTGATTGTCCAGTGTCATATAACTCCTATGAGGTTGGGGAACTGGGATCAAAACCAGGCATGTAAGCTCAGGGCCTGAGAAACAGAAGATGAGACTGGAGATAAATGAGCAAAGGTCTTATTAGGAGGAATGCCTATTTGAAGGAAAATAAGAGGGAGTTTGGTAGCCTAAACAAACCATCAAATAGCAATGTAAGTCTGACCCTAACAGAAAGAGAGGGAGAGGACCTTGGACCGAAATGTCTGAGAGCTCTACAGAGTCAAAGGAGAGTACAACATGCCCACTGAGGAGTCTTTAAGCCAAAGTTGGCCACTGAAGATGTAGGTTTCCCGAAAACAGGTCAGTCTTGGTACCTCCACCACACACTGTTACTGACTTACGGGAGGAGCCTGCCTAGATCAATTCAAGATGAGCAAAGGAAAACAATCATGGGTGAAACAATCATGACACTCAACATATAAAGGTAGAATGGGGTAGTTTCAAAAAATATATAATCTAAGTATGTGCAAACCAACATTGTGTCCCACATGTCCACCTGTTCCTTTTTCTTAAAAAATCAACCACACACTCCAGGAACACAAATTTCTTGAACTGTAACCTTGTCTTTTAGTACTAAAATCACATCCCAGTACACTGAGTAGATTCTATGACACTCACTCAGCTTGGCTACCAGGGAAGAAATGCTGACCTAACTCTCCTGGAATTTGGACTTGGGATTCTCTGAAGTGAAAAGATATCGATACTGAGACATCTAAATCATCATCCACAATTTTGTGTGTCTCCAGGCCAACCCAGAAAAAGAACTACAGCATTCTTTTCATCAGGCGAAGAGTTGGTGTCTGAGCCACCCCCTCGATCATCTACTGTTCTTTCTTCTCCTATTCTGCCCTTTTGTGGAGAAGGTCAATGCTGAGTTGGTGCTTTATGCTGTAAATAGGCTGCTGATAGCCTATGCTGGACATTATTTCCCCATACTCTTTTATAGAATGCCAGGCCTTTCCTAGACTTTATGGCCCACAATACTTAACTTGTTTGGAGTGGGTGGAGATGGAAACACAGTCTATTGAGAATATCAGTGCTTCCTCCCTGAAATTTAAAGAGCCTATTATCAATCTTCCTTTTACAGTCTATCTCTCAGGCACAAATCCCATAAAGACAAGCATGGAGAAAAGATGAAATAATGTTGTCCAGGGAGTTGACTTTTGCTAACTGAAAATACCAGGCTTCCAGAGCACTATAGATAAATGGGGCCCAGCTGACACTGGTGGCCAGGGAGGACACTCACCACCCTTTAGTTTAGAGTTTTCTACCCTCCAGGCTCTGCCTTCTTCTATAAACCAGTTGTGGCAACTGATGATATTATCAGCTACTGCTCTTGAAAAGGGATTTGAACTTTGAGGTACTATGTATTGTTTCATCTCCTGGGGAGGTAGGAGATTACAGTAGTTACCTGGTCAGCTTCAGAATCAGAAGGAATGTCTGCAAATCCATCCAGTGTATGAAATGGGCAAGCTTTTAACCCTTTCAAAGCTTCAGATTTCTTGAAGCTCATATGCTCAAGATACCAGTACCCATTCCAAGAAGAATCATGAGAATTAATTCAGAAAACATATGCAGTGAACATGTATAAATTAAGCCTCAGGACATGATAAATGACCAAGCAATGGGGACTATTACTATCTAGTCTTATTATCTGTGTTCCTCTGCAATCTTAAATACATCACTAAATCTTAGCAAGCCTCGGTCTGGAAATGGAATTCATGCAAGTAATGATATCTTACTAAAATGGTTGTGAAGAGTCAGTGAGAGTATTTAATCACTGTAAAGTCTCATCAAATGTCAAGCAAGAATATTATGATGCTTATTGTTATTAACTTTTGGTGACCTTCATCCTCAAAATGCCTGTGGATAATTTTCCGAAGGAAAGTTTGAGAGATAATGGAAGAAAGTGAATGGCCTCTATTACAAATTAATCCCTTCTCCAGCTTATCCCTTAATGAGTTGGTTAGCCCTCCCTTCAGAAAAGTCAGTTTCTTCCATCAACCCCAGTAAGCTGGAAGACCAATATTTTTTTTAATAATCTTACCTTCTCCTCTGTTGTCAATAGGAAATAATATTTACTACTGTTTTCCTTTCAAAAATCTGTCTGGTTGCATACTAGAAACAGTTTCAGCTGGTTTGTTTGTCTTGGAAAAGCTGCTGAAGTGAAAAGTTTTTGCTTGGCTGAACGTGGAATAGTTTCATAACCCTCCAAGAAGTGCATTGAAGGTGGGTGCCAGTTCTGAGGACGGCTGCCTCTAAGGGGCCTTCACTTGCAGCCCATTGTCAAGGGCAGTCAGCATAATTAAATTAAGACAATAAGCAAAGCCACAGATGCAACTAGGCCCAAGTCCCTGAGTGCTTTTGTTTTGTCACTGTCATTGTCTACAACAAAGAAGTCACATGGGAGAGCCTGGGAAGAGAGCCAAATGCAAACCAGACAACATCGCAGCTGGTTTTGAATGGTTTCCACCATGCGGGTGTGCTTGGGAACCATGCTTCTTGGAGCAGTGATGAGTGAGTTGCAGCCCACAGCTCTGTTGGGGTGCTGAGGCAGACCCACAAGAGAAAGACCAGAAGATGCTTCTGATCAGCCTCAACCTTTCTATCTTCTGCTTAGAGAGAAAACAAAAAGAATCAGAAACTAAAGATCTATGTGATGGACAAGATAACCTCAATTTTGTTGTTGCTACAATCTGCAAGCCTTTGAAAAGTACAGAAGACATCTGAATTTATCTTCCATAAATTTGTAATTCAGAGAACTGAATTTGAGAACCGGGATTCAACAGGTCACAAGGATTTCTTTGCATTGTTATCATTTCCTTCTTGAATGGTCTCTTAGTGTGTGTATTTTAGATTCATCTTTTTTCTTTATTTCTAAGCTGATATGCATCTTAAATAGGAAGAAAAGAAAGTAAAAATTCCAATTACCATATTGCTCTACTTATTAGTTAATTTGGTTAATAGTTTGGTTGAGAGCTGTCCTTATTAACAGCTATTTGAGGGATTTAATGAGCCACATACCATCAAGTGGGTCCATAAAGAAAATTTCAAGTGCTTTGCGAAAGTAAATGATCCTACTCTGTGGCCACAGATGCATTCCTTTCATTTTTTTAGGAAACTGTTGTAAGAAGCCAGAATGACATGTTAGATTAAGGAGCGTAAGTTCAGTGGTAGCTTAATATTGAATGCTTTGTCCAGCAACAAATGCATGTTAAATGAATTTAGTAAAAGCTGTATGGTATTAGAAGAGAAAGTGCCCATACTTTAAACAGATGGCATGTCAAGCTGTTCTATTCAAGTTCCCAATTTCTTCTGACCAGCTTCTTTTGTAGGACCATTTAGCTATTATTTTAATAGGTTCTTTTACACAGTGGTACTACCTTTGGTGTATTCTGTCACTACAAAACACACATGAACTCACGAAGGGCAGTTCCCTTTTATAAGGTATTCTGTGGTAAAAACTCTGTTCTAGGTAGAGCTGAGCAACATGTGTAAAAAAAAAACCTGTCACTTGCCTAAGGCATCTCTGTATAATTATAAAGCAATAGCACCCATGCTGTAGCTGTGCGTAGAAATAGCCTAGGTGAAGCTTGGTTGAGCTATTTACTAAAGGCCTGTCCATCTGTATATGTTTCTCAAAGAAATCAAGTCCTCAAGTGCTCTTTTAGACTGTCCGATAAGGCATGAGATACAGAAGGTTGAGACTTGGTGTTAGAAATAGCTGGATGTGGTTAATTAGGAGGAATAAGTATCAGTCTTCTACAGCATGGAAGTGAGGGAGGAGGACTGCAGGTTACAACAACTTATTATATGTCTTATAAATAACTGCAAGAGAGCTTGAAACTTATGAACATAAAGAAATGAAGACTCTTTAAAGGTATCGAAATGCTAATTTCTCTGTTTGGGTCATCATCATCATAATATATATATAATATTATATATACATATATGTAAACTTACTATCTCACAGTCTCTTAAGCATACACAGCTTAAAAAGTTGTTTTAAAGAAATAAATGGGTATATAAAGCAACATCAACTTAATGGCATCTTTTCTCCTTCATTTATAGGAAGTCCATTTGAAGAACGCAAGTAGAGGAAGTTCAGGAAACAAGAACTACAGAATGTAGGCAAACCGTCCTGAGGAGCAGAAAAAATGACATGTCACTGCAGGATCCTTTGCTCTGCCCGAGTAACCTGCTAAACATTGTAACACCTACCAAAAATTAAGTTCAATAACATTTCAAATATGGGCATTTTCCCCCAATGAAATATACAAGTAAACATTCCAACATTGTCTTTAGGAGTGATTGTTAAAAAGCTTTGCACCTTGCAAAAATGGTCCTGGAGTGGGTAGATTGCTGTTGATCCTTTATCAGTAATGTTCTATAGAAAGAAAATTATATATATGATTATATATCTTAGTCCTGCCTCTCAAGAACTGCAAGTGCATGGGTGTTGTGTAGATCCAGTTGCAGTAATTCCTCTTTGAATCTTGGTTGCTGGAGTTCTTCATTCAGCAACTACGTCTAAGTGGTTTATGAATTGTTTCTCTATTTACACTTCTTTCCACACAACCCAAACTGCTAGTTTCACAGAGTCTAACAATCCTGTCTATCTCTACCATCCCCTGTCCTTTCATAAGATTTTCACTTGTTGAATTTGGCCTCCTCAAAAGCAATAGAAAGTGATAGTCAATGGCTCACCAATTTTTAACCTACGTCATTCCATCTGTGGCATTTGTACCAAATATAAGTTGGATGCATTTATTTTAGACACAAAGCTTTATTTTTCCACATCATGCTACAAGAACAAAAGTAGAATATGATAGTTTCGACCTTGAGGCCAATCATTTTTAGGTGTGTGTTCAAAACATAGAATGTCTCTAAACTCTCAATGGTTCCTTCAAATGATAAGTTAGTGTGTGATCTAATTAGTAACTTCTCTCTTTTTATTTCTTCCATATAGAGCACTATGTAAATTTAGCATATCAATAATATAGGATATATCAAACAGTATGTAAAACTCTGTTTTTTTAGTACAATGGTGCTATTTTGTAGTTTGTTATATGAAAGAGTCTGGTCAAAACGGTAAAAGGTGAAAGCAAATCAGAAGGGGAAGCCTAGAGCCAAAGATGACAAAATAGGAAAGGAATTGAAAAATCCATCCATCTATGAGAAGCAAAGTCCCCCCAGTTATGCCTCCCAAGAGGAACTTCAGACACACAATCCATGAATGCAAACTTGCTTGGAGGGTCCAGAGAGGAAGTCGTGGGGTGGGAAAAGCAGAAGGCTAGGAATTTTAGCAGTCCTGGTTTCTTTTTCTCACTGAAGAAACAAATATTTGCCACCTCTGCCACAGACTCACCACCGTATGACCTTGGGCAAGTCACCCCACCTCTGTGCCTCAGTTTCCTCATCTGCAAAATGGGGGCAATGTGTCATCTACCTACCTCAAAGGGGTGGTATGAGGATTCAAAGATAAAGATTCAGATTTTTGCCTGGATTGCCAGGAGGGTGCGACATCAGAGCCCTGGAATTGCTGGGATGCAGAAAGTCCAACTGACAGCATAGTTTCAGAATCATTCATCAATCACTGCAGTGTCATTATGACAGTCACATTCTCATCAATGAAGCTATCCAGTAAACTGTCCAACTAGCCTGTGAAGAGCTAACAGCTCAGTCTTTCCTACAACACTTCACAAAGTAAGCTAGACACATTTGGTTTATAATTTGGTTTTGATTCTGTATTTGAACTTAGGAATATAAAGATAAGTGTAAATGGAAAGGAAAACTTAGAGAAACAAAGTTTTTCACCACTGAATGAATAGTTACTCTCTGATTAGTTCTCATTGATTCTTCCAGGCGCTTGATATGTATTTGATAGTGTCTCTTTAATATTATTACTGATACACTATTCAGTTTGAAAACTGAGTTTCCCTTCCCCTTAGTATAAAAATAGTATTTTAAAATATTGAAATAATGTCTGGTTAAAAGACCACAAAGTTACGTGCTTTAGTAAACTTTATTCTTATCCTTGGTGGTATATACATGTACCATTTTATTTGTGAAAATATGCTAACTAGAATTGCTTCTTGAGGGCAAAAATTTTCCTTCTCAACCCCAATGCTGCCCCTCATGTCTGCTTAGAAGAAAGATCCCCAGCTTCCTGTGGAAGTGTCTGATACATTATATTGGACATTGATATCCAAAAACATCTAGAATAAGTTCCGTGCTTATGGAGAAAGATTTTCTTTCTCATTAGAATAAGTTGTTCAATATTCAGATCTTATTAGGTACAGCTTTATCTTTTGCAAATTTCCTCAATATTCTTAGGAAGTGTATATCAAAAACACAAAGGACATCTTTAATTTTCCTTCCACTTGGCTGCTTCAGAATCTCTGAATAAATACAGAGAGAAAGCCTTGTTCAGCAGAGCACTCAGACTTACTTGGCTGGAGCACCCTGGGCACACTGCACATGCTCTGATTACTATGGAGAGATGTAAAGGAACTGTAGGTCAGTTTTGCCATCTGTCTATTTCCCAGAGATGATGTGGAAAATGTTGGCACCTCCCACCCCCAGCGTGGCTTTTCAAACTTTAATGCGTACCTTTTAAAATTGGTGATTCCTAGAAAAAAACCTTGTAGGCAGTCTTCTACAGATTTTTGGGTTTCTTGACATGGTTGGATTTGGTAATTCCCGGTATCTATGATATATTTTATTCATTTAATTCTATGTACAGTTAAAGATTCTCCCAACGATGTAATCATATATATATATACATATGTATATATGAACTTTTTCCAATCTATATTCCTCTCTAGGTGGATCATAAATCAGTTATCAAAAATTAATTATACAACACTATTTTACTTTCAAATAAATGAACACTGAAAAATGAATCTATATAAACTCTAGAAGCCAATTGATCATTATATAATATTAGTATGAATGGATATAGTCCCAATTTAATTAACAATACTCAGGTACCTATGTCAACATTTGGTCCCACCTCCTCAAAGAGTATAAATTACTATTTGAATATTTTTAGATAAGGGAGTTCTACTGAAAAGGTTAATGCATCTCTCCATCACAATCTACTTTCCTAGAGTAAAAGAAATACTTTCTCAGTACCCACCTTATACTTACCCTACCCTACACACACACACACACACACACACACACACACACACACACGCACACACACAGCCACCTACTCACCCTGAGAGTTCAATGCATACTAAAAAAAAAAATCAGTTCCTTGAAAATCTTATTAAAAACAACCCTGACCCCCTTCTTGAGATGCCTCCTTGGAATTTCAATGTGGAATGTGGAATGTCTGTGTAGATGAAACCATCTCATACCCTGTGGCCCAAGGTTTCTGTTACTGACTTATGCATTTGGGAGAAGGCATGGACGATGTAGCATATTTTGCTTTCCCATTTATTGTTTGGCCAGCTATGCCAATGTGGTGCTATTGTTTCTTTAAGAAAGTACTTGACTAAAAAAAAAAGAAAAAAAAAGAAAAAAAAGAAAGCATAGACATATTTTTTTAAAGTATGAAAACAACAATTCTATAGATAGATGGCTTAATCAGATAGCATTAGATCTAGCCACCACCACCTTTCAACTTTTTATCACTGACAAGTAGACTATTGTTCACCAAATTGTGAGTTTGGGGGTTCAGGGGCAGAAGATGGAAATTTTTTAAAACTAGAAGGCTCCATTATTTTGTTGGCTCTCAAATTCAACAAAATTAGCAATATATAATTCAATCTGAAACTTTGATCAATAGCTTGGAGTAAAGATGGGCGAGGAAAAAGAACTTATAGGCAAATGGCAGAACTAAAATGAAGATTAAGTTGTTTATTGTTTGGTTTTTTTCACTTTTGGTTTGTGTATGTGTGCTCTCTCTAAAACAAATATCCAGAAAGAGTAAAAAACAAAAGGTTTTTCATTTTAAGATAAATTCATCTACCACTAAAACCAGCTTTTCCATATCCTGGGTATTCACTGGTGTGTTCTGATTTGTAGGAGATTCTCTCCCATCAGTCATCTCAAAGAACAGTTGCCCTCATAGAAGCAGTCACTGATCTCATTGGGAAATGTTGGGAAGTATTTCCTTATGAGATGGGGGTTATTTACTGATAAAGAGAAGGATTTATGAGAAATTGTTGAAAAAGATGGCTAACAATCTGTGAAGATTTTGTTTTGTTTTGGGTTTGTTTTTAATTTGTAGTTTATACAGTCTTTATGAATATCTTAACATTCAAAAATGGCTTCGTCCTTTTCTTCTTTCATATTGGAATGAAAGATAGGTTAAACTCACACAGACTCTTTATAGGCTAGGTAGAATGAATGTTTGACTTATTGAATCAGACTATTTACAATGTTTTCTCTATTTTCATCTTAAAAGTTTGCCCTAATTTATTAGGGAAGAATCCATTTGGCTCTCCTTAGATGAAAGAGCACCCCCATAAAAACTGCATGGGTTTTTCATACATGTTTTCAAAAGATAAAATCTGATTTACATTAGGGAATTATCTACTCTAAAATGCAGTAGAAGAATTGTGAGTCTCTGTGCCCCTCCCCTGTGAGAAACATAAAGTCCAGAATATCAGGGGGGAAAAAATGAGGGAAATTTTTGTTGATTCTTTGTTTTTGTTTTGTTTTCAATACTAGTGTTTAATCCTATAGTACATATTTACTTATTGCTATTTTAATATTCTATAAGAACTTTCTTGCTAGGTTTTAGAAATTGATACATAGATACTTTTCTGTGATTTCTATTTAAAAGAAAAGAGACAAAAGACTGTCTGAAGATTTAAGTGCACATGGTACAGGATAGATACCAATTTAAATAAAAAGTCATATCTGGCATAAGCCTTTCTTTCTTTTTCATTTTAAGAAAAACTTCCACAGATAAGACAGAAGCCCAGGAGATTTCTGAAACAGTCTTTATCCCCCGCCCAAGTCCTTCTTTTCTTTTCCAGTTTCTGCCTCAGAATTTTATCAAGGCTGACAAAGCCAAAATCCACCATTAAAGGATTCTCTTTTAAAGCATATATTTCACATACCCCTCTTAATGTGTGATTATTTTTCTCTCTCCTTATTGTTCAACTGTCATTGATATGTGTTTTGACAAGAGAAATTTTCATTAACAAAAAGAAAGAATACAACAATCCAAATGTCATTTCCCAGTGACATTAAGAGATAAGATAGAAATGCTTTTTCCTTCTTGAAAACCCAGACTGACTCACCTTCAAAATGACCTTTCACAATCCTTATAATCTGCCTTTGTTTAAATTGCCCAGGCCTGAAAGCAAGCATTACTTATTTTTTCTTTTGCCCAAAAATGCACTGGTGTAAAATGGAAAAAGCGAAAATAAAGCTCCAAAAATCCCTTTCAAACCTTATCCACTGGCCCCACATCCCACTCACTGACTTAGCAAATTCACGTCTGTTGATCTCTTAAGCTGATTTTTTAAATATATTTATCTTGTACCTGCTGCTAAACACACTGCAGGAGTGACTCAGAAACCTCAAGCTGTCTATCACATCTCTTATCTGTGTCTATGTATCATTAAAATGTGTATTCAAAATATCAACACTTCTAAACACCATGCAGATTATATTCAGTTTACAAAAATGCTCCAAATAGCATGTCAGGTCTTTTTTGCTGAGTCATTAATGAACTATGAGAATTGGGATTACATCATGTATTTTGCTTCACGTATTTTTATCATACTTATAGGTCAAGTGTGATAATAAACTTACAGATACTGAATTAATTTTCCTTTGAAACCAGGAAGTAATAACATCATTGATTGAATCTGTTTTATTCAAAAGCATATTTTTATTAAATTAATTCTGATTGTATTCAAAATTATTATTCAATTCATTATGGCAGAAGGATATCAGTCCTAATTACTTCTAAAAATGTAATTAACTGAATCATTATCTTACATTTACTGTTTAGTAAGCATATTTTGAAAATGTATGGCTAGAGTGTCATAATAAAATGGTATATCTTTCTTTAGTAATTACATTAAAATTAATCATGTTTGATTAATTGGTCTTTCGAATAATCTGGTGCAACGTGTCATTCCTTAAAACATTGGGGGGTTCAGATTATTGGGATTTTTGAGAATTTCATAAATGAGTACTATTACAACATTTCAATCTTCCCTGTCCCCCTCAAACTCCTCCCCAACACACCCCATTCCCTCTCAACCTTGTGACCACTTCTTTGATTATTGTTGTTACACACACAAACACACATACATACACATTCACACACACGCACACGTACTGAGTCATCTAGTGGTGCCCACATGTACATTTGTTTATGGCTGACCACTTGGGATTGATTAACTCATCAGAGATACAACATTTTTATTAAAGAAGGACATTGCAAAAAATAAATAAGAAATTATCTAGAAAAATAAAACTAACCATAAAACAACATGGAGATATTTCACAAAATTTACAGATATTTAAAAATAAATGTTTCAAAGAACTTGTACAAGCATGTACAAGACGTGTAAACTACATAATATATGTATGAATAATAAAGTAGGTTGAAGAAACTGACCCCATTCACTATGACCCCACAATGAGTTATAATCCATGATGAAAGTATTTGAGAAAAGACTTTCATGTCAAAACGCCCAAGCATATCTTATAAGGAACATATACAAATAACATCTAATGCAGTCCTATGCCAAAACACTTTATAAGAATGTGATTTCTCAGCATCAAGCTATATTGGTAAGTCTATTTACTGGATATGTACTGTGAATATCACACTGAAAAGCACGTTAGTAGAAGTATAAGATGTAGAGTTCAGAAATTTCCTGTTGAAAAGCATCTGATTCTATTTTCCTCTTTGTAAATCCACTCAACTATTTAAAATATTACTCAAATGTAAAAAAGAATCATGAACTTCGCTCCTGGATTTAAGAATAAGACAGAAATTTTCTTTTATATTGTCCCATGTACCATTGGTTGCTCAGTTTATCTTGACTCCCAATCTTCCTTCCTTCAAAATTCCCACGGATTTTCCCCTAATTATCAGTCAGCTGACCCTTTTCTTCCAAATGAATTGTTTATGCTTAACTGGCTCTTCTCCACCTTCTGCCCAAGACAGTACCTTTACATTCAGCTAACCTAGTTGCAGCTTTTTTGCAAAAGGCTTAGTAGACAATGAAGTGAAGTTATTGAGCACATGGTAGAACATGGTTTCCAATTTGATGCCAGTCATCAATATCACTACAAACACATCAAGAAATTTCTGGCTGCTCACAGGCCTCTTGCAAGGCCCTGTCCTGTTCTGAAAACTCTGCCAGGAATTATGGGACTTCCTATTGAACCTTTCACCGCCTCCTTAGAAAGAACATTCAAGAAAATTCTATTATGTTCTTCTGGGGAGCAATTGTCCCTCACAGCTTTGCACATGGTAGGGATAGAGGCAGGACTGATTTTCTTTGTATTACTGAATATGCCCGAAGATGTTTTCCTACCTAAAACACTAAGGTGCAATTCTTTCCTTGGAGAGATCTCCACAATTACCTATGCAAAATTAGTCTATGTTAGAATGGCATTCCTTCCTGTTTGATCTGTATCAGTGATAATTACCACTAACTATAACAATAATGATGCTGAATATAATTGATCACTTACTTTAGATCAGTCCAGTCCCTACGCAATGATTTACATATACTGTCTCATTCGCCCTTATAAGAAAAAATCTTGTGTATCAAGAACTATCATAAATTCTAAAGACAAGAAATGGAATCTCAAACACATTATCTAATATACTGAAGGTCACAGATAAGCAAAGCAAACTTGAATCTTGTCTGAAGACATAAAAGCCTATGTTGTTACAATTTGGTCATCTCATGCCCAACTCATATATAAAGAGAGTACAGTAACAAACTGATTCATCTCATTCAAATTTTGTTTTACACACTGAAGACAGAACTGTAGCTACATACATCTTTGAAAAATAAACTATATTGAAGTATTTTATTGTCTACATTACTTTCTATTGTTGTGATTAAATGCAACGAACAAAACTAACTTGGGGAAGAAAGGATTTGTTTTATCTTGCATCTACCAGATCACAGCTCATCCCTGAGGAAAGTCAGGGCCGAAACCTGGAGCACAAACCATGGAGTTATGCTGCTTACTGGATTGTTCCTCTGGCTCATGCTCAGCCTGCTTTCTTACTTATATAACACAGGACCACCTGCCCAGGGGTGGCACCACTCACAGTGGGCTGGGCCCTCCCACAACACTCAACAATCAAGAAAATGCCCCACAGACATGGTCACAGGACAGTCCAATGGAGGAAGTTCCTCAATTGACGTTTCCTCCACCCAGATGTGTCAAGCTGACAACTGAAGCTATCCAGCACAATTAACCTCTTGACAACTTGACACACAAACAATCGCTATTAAACCACAACTTTTCCATTTCTTATCCCAAAGGTCTCACTTTAATATTAATATTAAAATATAAACAATACAACTTTAAAAGTCCAACAGTCCTTAAAAATTCAAACACTTTAAAAACTCAGTGTCTTTTTGTTGTTGTTGTTTATTAGAAGAAGCATTTCATTACAACAGCATTAACCTATTCAGTAACATTTTTCTGAGCTAGGGTACATCTCTTTCAAAATTGGCTGTACATTTCTAGGTTTACAGATGAATTATTACACTTATAAAATCTTATACTCATTATAAACTCTCTAAGAGATAAAATTAAATTAGGTTCCAATGTTTAAAAAAGATCTCCTCTTCATTGTCAAAACACACAGTTTCATACAGAAAAATTCATTCCAAGCCTATTGACAT